AGAGAGTGGGTGACGTAGGTCCAAACAGCTTTTCATTCACCCCAAATCCTAGTAAATCCTAATTTTCTGTGTTATTACTAGTAAACTTCCCCTGGTCTCTTAATTTGTTAATATCTCTCTTCAAGCCCTCCAAGAAATAACATTTAACTTAGAATTTAAGGATAGATTTACATGTGTTCCCCATCCTGATCCCCTCTCCCGCCTCCCTCTCCATCCCATCCCTCTGGGTCTTCCCAGTAAATCCATGGCTGATTCATGTCAATGTATGGCAAAAACCACTACAATATTGTAAAGTAATTAGCCTCCAACGAATAAAAATAAATGGAAAAAATAAATAAATAAAAGTTTTTTAAAAAATAATGAGAATAGAATAATATACCAACCCCCAAAAAAGTGCATAAAGGAGAAGGAAGAAAAGGAGAAAACAGGTATAAAAGCAGAACACTCTAGACTGAAAAGGAAGAGTAGATTTAATGGTCCTGAGGTGATAAGGATCTTGGTTTTAAGGAAAATTACAAATTAAGGTAATACCATTCAAAGAGGTCATAGAGGATAAACCAGAGGATGGATCACTGGCTTTGAGATTGGAAGGAATAGGAGAAAATGGTAGGATCTTTAAGAATTACAATGAAAAAAGATACCCAAATTCATCAGTCTTTAAAGTCATCACATTTGGCAGCAAACTTTGACCAGACTTTTCAAAAACTAGAAGCAGGGTAATAAATATTTTCATAATTAGGTAGCTTTTGCTATATGTTATCTGGCTTATGTTGTATTAGTACAATCTAAAAGCAAAAATAATGAAATGGCTACTCGATGCTACTTCCTAACAAAGGAGAGAGACAAGTTGTGGTTTCATTGTTCAACAAGTTTTTTATTTTTCTACATGTTTTCATCCTCTGACCAAGTTAAAAATCAGCTATAAATGCTCAGAAAGCTCATCACTCAGTAGATTAGTAGAGATGTGAACCTATCTAATCAAAGGAAGAGGAAAAGTACAGGAGTGCATGAGAAGTGTAAGGTGAGGTTTAAAGGAAAGAGAATGCAAGGAGATGCTGTTCTCAGAACTTCAAGATCCCCTTGGGATATGAATCCTTTAGCACAAATGATATGTCAGTAATTAAAGTTCTTTTAAACATCATTTACATCCTCACTTCTAACATAAAATCCTCTACAGTAACTATAAGACTCCATCACATGATTTTGTATCAGTCAGTACAGGTGACACAGCAAAAAAGATAACCACTATTCAATCATCACCTAGGAGATACTGTTAAATTTTTAAAAATATAATGAGTGGGTGGAAAGTTAGAAGGGAATTGTCTAGTATAATGTGAAAAAGTCTTTCATACAGGACAAAACATGTTTTAATTCACTGTTGAAGGTGAAAGCTATTCACACACTACCCTGGCAGTTCAGCTGGTAAAGAATCAGCCTGCAATGCAGGAGATCCTGGTTCAGAACCTGGGTCAGGAAGATCTATGGAGACGGGATAGTCTACGCACTCCAGTATTCTTGGGCTTCTCTAGTGGCTTGGCTGGTAAAGAATCCGTCTACAGTGAGGGAGACCTGGGTTCGATACCTGGGTTGGGAAGATTCCCTGGAGAAGTGAACAACTACCCACTTCAGTTTTCTGGCCTAGAGAATTCCATGGACTGTACAGTTCATGGGGTTGCAGAGTTGGACACAACTGAACAACTTTCACTTTCATTGCAGTAGCAAATTCATGCAGTTTGAAGATCTGCATATCACTTATCCCAGTCTTTTTTTAAATCCTAAGTAACTTTGCCTAAAAAACAAATGCTCTGATAAACACTTATATGCTGATTGTGAGCACCATACTAGTACTTATTAAATCATGGTTTGAAGATGGAAACTTTTATCACTCTTCAACTGGTAATTTTTAAATATTGTTTTTATATTAATCAGTTGTTTTATCAAGTTAATCTGGATAGAGTTTTGATCAAAGATGGTGTGGATTTCTGATGTGTAATGAAATAAACCAGTTTTCAAATCTAAAATTCCTTTTTAACGAAGGTATTATGAAGTGACTTCACACACACACACTCATAACTACACTTCCCTGGTGGCTCAGTGGTAAAGAATCCGCCTGCCAATACAGGAGACACAGGTTACATCCCTGGGTCAGGAAGATCCCCTGGAGGAGGACATGACAACCCACTCCAGTATTCTTGCTTGGGAAACCCCATGGACAGAGGAGGCTGGTGGGCTACTGTCCATGGGGTCACAAAAGAGTCAGACATGATTTAGTAACTAAACAACAACAAAACCCCACAACTACACAATATTGTATTTTTGAGGATCTGCTCTCAGGGTCTACAGAATATAAATAATGATTTATTTATGTGATGTTTATCTTTCCACTAAAGTGCATTTAATGAAGAGATGCTGCATTAACTATTTTCCAGATTTCAATTCAAACACACATTTACTGAGCACCTGCAAGGATCAAGTCTTTCTGGAATGTACAGGATCCCACAAAGGTGAGTGAGACTCCTTCTGCTTTAACATCTCACATTCCAGAAGGCAAGCTAAGATATACGCTTAAAGAACAGTAATATAAATAGAATGTGAGAAATGCTAAAAAGAGATATATGAACAATTGTCAAGGGAACATAAAAGGACCAGAGATTAACAGCTGCTAAACCCAAGTTCAGTTCAGTTGCTCAGTCATGTCCAACTCTCTGCAACCCCATAGACTACAGTACGCCAGGCTTCCCTGTCCATCACCAATTCCTGGAGCCTACTCAAACTCATGTCCATCGTGTCAGTGATGCTATCCAACCATCTCATCCTCTGTCATCCCTTTCTCCTCTGCCTTCAATTTTTACCATCATCAGGGTTTTTTCCAATAAGTNCACTGCATATAAAACAAATAAGCAAGGTGAATATATACAGCCTTGATGTACTCCTTTCCCTATTTGGAACCAGTCTATTTTTCTATGTCTTGTTTTAACTGTTGCTTCTTGACTTGCATACAGATTTCTCAGGAGGTAGGTCAGGTGGTCTTGTTTTCCCATCACTTTTAAGAATTTTCCACAGTTTGTTGTGGTCCATAGAGTCAAAGGCTTTGTTGTAGTCAATAAAGCAAAAGTAGATGTTTTTCTGGAACTCAGTTGCTTTTATGATGATCCAGCGGATGTTGGCCATTTGATCTCTGGTTCCTCTGCCCTTCTAAATCCAGCTTGAACATCTAGAAATTCACAGTTCACATACTGTTGAAGCCTGGCTTGCAGAATTTTGAGCATTACTTTGCTGGCATATAAGATGAGTGCAATTGTGCAGTAGTTTGAACATTCTTTGGCACTGCCTTTCTTTGGGATTGGAATGAAAGTGCCTACTTGAGAAAGAAAAGGGCTCAAAAGGCTTCTTGGAAACAATGCATTTAAATTGCAGGGGTGCATTTCCTAAGTCATACATCGGTATTCTTTAAATATAGTTTCCTTGCAGCTGCATCTAATATTTATCTCACAGATTTGGGATATAAGGAGTTTCATATAACCTAAATCTTTATGCAGTTACAAAACAGTAAAATTATTATTATATCATTATTTTTGCTATGTCTACATCCCTGCGCCAAGCACTACTAAGACTGTAAAAGCTGTGCCAGTGTTGCCTTGAAAATCTCAGACATATGGGATAGGTAGAGACAAAATACTACAAAACACATAAAGATGAATAATACAAGGAAACAGATAATTGGTGTTGCTGGTGACTTTCTATACTCCCCATAGATTAGCCAACAACAGGGCCCCAGGTATAGACTTCTGCATGGGCCCAGCATGCCAGGCAAGAGCCTCCATTTATACTCTGGCTCCAAGTAAAAACCGCAAATATTAAGGGTGGGCCTATTATTCACCTGAGGACTCATAAAACAGTTGCAAGATTTCTCATGCCCATCTTTAAAGCAGGAATCCCAAGATACTCTATTGTACTGGATGTTTTCAAAGAGACTAGGAAAACAAAAACAAAATACCAAGTTGACTCTCCAGTTCATTTGATGTCCTCTAATAACATCACAGGCTACTGCTTATCTAACAACTGTTAAATAATGCATTTTTTTATATAACAGATCACTGAAGGTGAGAAGTAACCTTCTTCCACACTGTAAGTATTTGAAAATCCACAAACCTGTGTTGGACACAATATGTGCCAGTTTGTTTCCTATTTTAGATCTTATCCTGAAAAGAAAATTAAGCCCCTCACTTTTTTTAACATGAAAAGAGGTTTTCATGAGATGACCATCTGCTCCCCAAAGCTACCTGCATTGCCTTAAGTCTCCAGTAGTGTTAAGTGGAGCAAGGTGGGGGAAGTAAGGAGCAGAGGTGACTGGAGTGAATACACACAAGTCAAAAACCCTAAGTGTTTCCTGGGTCTGCTTCCCTTTCAGCAGCTGAGATTACTCATAGTCCATGTGAACAACATAGAGTGCCCAGAACTACTCTGAGGAACTCTGCAGGGTTTGTTTTAAAACTTGCCTCCGAGTCTACCCGCTTCCTGAAAGTTTAATGCTCCGGGGAACCGCATCAACTCAGGAAGCTAAGCTCCCCTTTAGGGTATTGAAGCAAACGATTACATAGTGATGGCCAAAGTGTCAGAAGGAGTTAATGTACCCTCCCAAAATGTCCAAGTCTTACAAGAGACTGTCTTCAGAATATTGGTCCCAATGAGCAGGAATAGATTCATAAAGCAAAGTGAAACTAAAAGAATGAAAAGAGAAAGAAAGAAAAAGAATGTCCCAAAAGATACACTTGAGTAGAATAATGTTCAGCTTAATAAATAATGCACATCATAAAATATGTATTTATTTAGTAAACATCTAGTATATATACCACAATATCAGTCACAGAAATCGCCCTGGTTTTGCAACTGAATAATAAATATAGCACCTTAAAATATCTGACTGCCAACTTGGATAAAAGAATGAAGCCAGCACATACTGACCTCAGACTCCACAGTCTTCTCCTGCCTCTGGGGAAGAAGACACAGCGGATGCTGAGTGATGAGGCCGTGGAAGTAGCCGCAGCACACTGAGGCTCTGAATAATGGATATCCTTGGTGGAGGCTGCAAGTCGCCATGGGAGGACAGGAAGGTGATGAAGAACCTTAAGGGTCTTGCTGTGACCAGGGGAAAAACCAAGAGAGATTGGCAATAAATCTTTCAATACCCAAGAAAACTGGCTACCAAATAAAGGATTTCATCCATTTTAGCAGAAAAGCATTTATTCTCTTGCTGTATAGTCGCTCATGTGAAATGAATATATTAATGGTATTAGATCCAGTCTGAGAAAGATAGACCGATATCACCCATTTGAAACCATTAGTTGTTTAACCCTGGCTTGCAGATTAGCACAAATTAATTGACAGAGCGGGCTCTTCCGGGAATGTTCAGAATGCTTTCCAAATAGTTCAACTGAGACACTTTATTGATCATAAAGGGTTCCTAATGCAAATGGAGGAATGCTGAGGTGGCACTATTGTCGACAATAGGCTGCAGTTTACAGCGATAAACTCCCCGTCTCCTATCAAGCCTTCAGCACGCTGTTCACTGAGCAGCCCTTATCTTCAAACGCTGACACATGTAATCTAACATTCTCACTTTGCCACAGTCAGAGCAATTGCTTGACAATATGATTACAATTTCCTGTCAGCTCACGCATGGAATATTTCTGTGAGCTTTCAACAATTGCAAAATATTTTGATTTTGAAATGATAGTAATCCATGAAGAAGAAAAAAAGTCTTCAAAATATTGATTTCTGATAAGAAATCAAGATCTGCATAAAGGAAATTGCTTAAGTATCTATGGGCTTCCCTGGTGGCTCAGAGGTTAAAGCGTCTGCCCGCAGTGCGGGAGACCTGGGTTCGATCCGTGGGTCGGGAAGATCCCCTGGAGAAGGAAATGGCAACCCACTTCAGTACTCTTGCCCGCAGAATCCCATGGACGGAGGAGCCTGGTGGCCTACAGTTCACGGGGTCGCAAAGAGTCGGACACGACTGAGCGACTTCACTTAAGTATCTATGCATGAGGATGTGTTGGAGTACAGAAAGAAGGGGAGACTATCATAATATGACGAAAAAGACAAGGACTTGGGTTGTGGAAACTACTGAAGGAAGCAGAGTTTGTTACAGAAAAACCACCATCTGTGGCCAATGGCCTGATGGAGGTAACCGAATCACCTGTTAGTCCAGCGTAGAATGCATGTTTCTGAATGTCATTTCAAACACCCTCTTCTTCCTTCAACCCAATAAAGGTTACTTTGGTAGAAATCTTGAAGGAAATGGAAATGAAAAAAGAAATGTCATCACTTAGAAGGCAAATATCTTTTAGTTTAATAAATAACATGTGTATGTATTTAAACAAATTAATCTCAAACACTGAAGATCATACCTTTCCAGAAGAATTTTTGCCCCTTACTCTAAATTGGAGAGAGAGTTTTTCACTAATTGAGTAAGGCTGGCTCCTTGTGACCCCGATAGAGATATGAAATAGGGTTTACCTGAATTGTTGACCTTTCCCCCTGAAATGAGAATGTGCTAAAGAGAGACCTCCACATTCTTTTTTGTTCCCTCAGAAACAAGTCATTCAAATAATTACTACCAGCATTTTAGGCACTTCTACTGGATGGTCTCTGGGTTGGGAAGATCCCTTGGAGAAGGAAATGGCTACACATTCCAGTATTCTGGCCGGGAGAGTTCCATGGACTGTATAGTCTATGGGGTCACAAAGAGTTGGACACAACTGAGTGACTTCACTTCACTGGTGGTTGTCTACCACATAATACAAAATGGAAATTATTTCCACAAATGAATAATATAGAAGTAGGCAAAGGATTAGACTGAAAAAATCATGGAATTTTAAATGGAGGAAAATGCTCTGAAATGAAAACCTATTACTGTAGCCCTTTAGCTGAGGGTAATTTATAGGTAGACCAGTAAAACATGTGTTCCTCAATAATACAATCAATCACTTTACCTGGAATCTAGCCACTCGGCAATGTAATGCTCTAGTATGAATCTAAATTCTTTTTCTAGCTGCTATTAGTCAAATAGCTTTTAATGACTTCTACTATTAGACGACAGTTAGGGCTATTTAAATCTATAATTTGTCCCACATTTCTTCTTAAACAGGCATGGAATATACATGCTGATATTGCTAACACTGCATATATTCAGAACAGGGAAGGCAAAGGGTCAAAAGACATGGACTTTGAAAGCATTAATAATTCAGAAAGAAAAATATCTGCCACTGACATTTTTTTTTCATTCCTGTAATAAAGTATAATAAAGTAAACTTCATCCTTTTAGTGTACCACTCTGTGAGTTTTGACAAACACATACAGTCATGTAACCATGATCATAATCAAAATATGAAACAGCTTAGTGAAAGGAATTCAACCATACATATACATGTATCCATTTGTTCACCTGAAACTATCACAATGCTGTTAATCAGCTATTAACCAATTAAAAAAAAAGTTTTTGGTGTTAAAAATAAAATAAAAATAATTTTAAAAAAAAGAAAGGGAGGAAAAATGGAACAGTTCAATAATCTCCTCAAATTTCCTCCTGCCCCTTTATAATCAACCCCTTCCACACACTCTGTCCTTGGCAACTACTGATCTGTTTTCCATCCCTATAGTTTGTTTTCCAGAGTGTTACATCAGTGGAATTTTGTAGTATAGGGTCTATTAAGTCTGTGATCTTTCACACAGAAAAATGCAACTGAGATCTATCCATGTTGTTGTTTTACAAGGAGTATATTCTTTTTTCACTGAGTAGTATTTCATTGATTGGATGTACCTCAGTTTGGATTGACTCCAGTTTTCAGTGATTACTAATGAACCTACTATGAATATTAACATAGATATTTTTGTGTAGACATAAAATTTCATTTGACTTGGGTAAATACCTAACAGCAGCGTCACTGAATTGCATGATAAGAGTATATTTAACTTTACAAAAAACTGCCAACTGTTTTGAAAAGCGGCTGTTCCATTTTGACTTGCTATAAACAATGTATGGGAATTTCAGTTGCTCCACAGCCTTGTCAGCAGTTGGAATCTTTATTTTGTATGTTTGTTTTAGCTATTCTAATAAAATTGCTGTGGCATCACAGTGTGGTTTTTAACTTGCATTTTCCTAATAACAATGTTAAGCATCTTTTCATGTTCTTATTTGCCATTTCTATATTTTCTTTGATGAAGTGTCATTGTAAATCTTTTGCTCATTTTTTTAAAGATTGGGTTTATAGTTTTCATATTACTTCCTTCTGAGAGTATTTATGTAAACTGGATAAAAATCTTTCATCACATATGTGATTTCAAAAATTTTTCCCAGTTCATAGTCTATGTCTTTTAATTCTTTTAGCAGTGTCACACATAGGGCAAAAGTCTTCATTCCAATGCAATTCAATTTATCAATCTTTTTTTTTCCTACTAGGGATTGTGCTTCACATATTATATCTAAGAAATGTCTGCTTAATCCAAGATCACAAATGTTTTCTCCTATGTTTTCTTCTAGTCTATAGATTGTTCATGACAATCTTGTTTAAAATAGATATAACATTAATGAATTTCAATGATATCTGAGTAAAAAGAATGGACTATTATTTTTTTAATTTAGAAGAATACTGAATTTAATACTTTATATATTTGAAATTTATGAAATCAGAATCTCTCCCCTAAAATATAAAAAATCACACACTACAACAGTCATTTGTTCATTCATTAATTAGTCAAGTATTTATTAATACTTGATTATACTTGATAATAAATAGTCTTACTATTAATTAATAGCCTTACTATTTTCCAGTTACTCAGTTAGATGGTGTGGTAATAGAGTTAAAGATGTAGTTGATCCTTTCCCTCAAGAAGTTCTGCATCTGTGTCCTATATCACATCCTTATATAGAACAGAGAAAGTGAGTGAAGACATCCTAGCATAGTATGATATAAACAAGAATTAGGGTGGTGACCCTAATAAGCCATATAAGTGAAAAGCAGGACTCAACCCAAAATGATAGAGCACCCATGAAAGGGAGGAGATAAAACTTGTAGCCCTGAGGAGCACACAGTTTGGTGGAGGAGATGAAAATGTAAATACATAAATAATTAGTTCATTACCAACATTCTAAGTGCTATGAAAGAAAGTTACAGAAAATGAAAACAATACATAACGAGATATAATTATTCTACGTAGTTAACAGAAGACAGTCCTAACTGTGTAACATGCAAACTGGAATCTGAGTGTAATTAGAAATTATCTTAGAATAAAAATTCAACGTTCCAGATTGAGAAAATTGCACATTTAAAGACCCAAATACTAACTATAATAAGACATTGATACAAGAAATTAAAGAAAACACAAATAAATGGAAAGAAATCTCAGATTCATTAGTTGAAATAATTAATGTTATTAAAATGTCTATAATACCCAAAGTTATCCATAATAGTCAATAAAATCCCTATCAAAAATTCCAATAGTATTTTTCACAGAAACATAAAAAAATATCCTACAATTTGTATGGAACCACAAAAGACCCTAAATAGCCAAAGCAATCCTGATAAAAAAGAACAAAGCTGGAAGCATCACACTGCCTGATTTCAAACTATACTATAAAATTATAGTATATAGTAATCAAAGTAGTATAGTACTGGCATAAAAATAGGTGCATAGACTAATGGAAATGTAATCAAGAGCCAAGAAATAAACCCACACACATATGGTCAACTAATATTTGACTAGGGAGCCACTAAGACTCTCAGAGGAGAAAACAGTCTCTTCAGTAAATGGTGATGAGAAAACTGAATATCCTATCCCAAAGAATGGAACTGGAGTCTCTCCTAAATCATATGCAAAAATTAAGGAAAAAAGTATGAAAGACTTAAATGTAAGTCCTGAAATCATAAAACTCCTAGAAGAACACAGGCAAAAAGTTCCTTGACATTGGTTTCATCAATAACTTTTTAGATATGACACCAAGAATGCAAGCAACAAAAGCAGAAATAAACAAGCATTACTTTTGTTGTCTTGTCGGGGTTTTTTTTTTTTGTTTCTTTGTTTTTTGGTCGTTGTTTTTAGTTGCTATGTCATGTCCAACTCTTTTGCAATCCCATAGAGTATTACTACAGCAAACTAAAAAGGCAATACAGCCAAAGAAATGAACAACAAAATAAAAAGATAATCTACTGAATGAGCAAAATGTTTGCAAATCGAGTGTCTGATAAAGAGTTAATATCTATGATCTATAAGGACTTACAACTCGGTGGTAAAAAACAAACAAGTCAATTTTAAAATGGACAAATGACCTAAATAGATAGTTTCCAAAGAATATATACAAATGTCCAGCAGATACATGAAGTTATTAACATCACTAATCACCACAAAAATGTTAGTCAAAACTACAGTGAGAAATCTCTTCACACCGGTTAAGATGGCCATTACACCAAAGATAAGAGTTTGCACGTGATGACAAGGATGGTGGAGTAAAGGGTACCTTTGAGCACTCTTAATAGAAATGTAAATCTAGCTATTATGGTAAACACTAAAGCGATTACTCCAAAAATTAAAAATAGAACTACTATATGATCCAGCAATTCTACTTCTGGGTATATATTTGAAGGAAATGAAATCACTATCTTGAAGAGATATCTGCACCCTCATATTTGTTGCAATTATTTATCTCAATAAAACTGAAAAAAATAAGAGAAAGTTTAATATCAAAGAAAAACAGTAGAGTATCACTCATAGTACAATACAGTCTTTTAAACTGAATAAATAACTTTATGAAAATCACTCATGCCTTATTATATCTTTGACTATGAAATGTTATCAAAAAACCACAAACTTAAATTTGAAGATATGGTACATGTTTTTGAAAAGTTAATCAACTCAGCAAGACAGATGAAAGAGTGAAGAGTCAACTGAACAGTGTAGATGAGGCTTTTATGAGCCAAAATGAGAGTGATCAAGTGCTGGACGTCGAGGAAAGTATTTAGGTGCTCCAGGTAGTATAGTAAGTGCTCTGTTACTGTTGTTCAGTCGTTAAGTTGTGTCTGAGTCTTTGTGACCCCATAAACTGTAGCCTGCCAGATTCCTCTGTCCTTGAATTCTCCAAACAAGAATACTGGAGGGCATAACTATGCCATTCTCCAAAGGATCTTCTCGACCCAGGGATCAAATCTAGGTCTCCTGCATTGCAGGTGGACTCTTTGCCATCTAAGCCATTTAAGTATTAGCTGACCTAAAATATATTGGTTCCTGCTATACAACCTAGTGATTCCATATTTCTATACATTTCAAAGTGATCACCACATAAGTAGAGTTTTGGTATGTCTGCATACAAAGGTATTACATAGTTATTGACTATATTCCCCGTATTGTACCTGTTGTACCCATGACTCATTTATTTTATAATGGAAGTTTATACGTCTTAATCTCCCTCACTTATCTCTCCTCCTCTAAAGATTTATCTATTCAAATCTTCTAATACTTTTACAGCATTTTTTATTGATGAGTTATATGAGTTCCTTATATTTATTGGATATTAACCCCTTATCAGATATATTGTTTGCAAGTATCTTAGCTTATTTGGTAGGCAGCATTTTCATTCTG